AACCACGGTGCGACTGAGGATTATCTCCATCTGAGTGTTCATTCACTATAGTATTAGTTGGCTATTCTTAATAAATAAATGGTATTAAAAATAACCATACATAATGCAACTTTCATGAATTTCAAATGTGCTTTGGGGTTTTTAAGTTTGGTAATAATTCACTACAAATTCTCTTACTTGTAGGTCGGTGCTGTTTTTTCTATCATCAAAAACTTGTTCACATTCAGCTATAGTAAAAGTAGATGAGATTGATATGATCACTACAAAAACCATCAAATAATAGATTAAAAACGGTTAGGTATAATTTTTTATTCAGCTACTCACTGTATATTTATCAGCGACTGATAACCAAGTGAAAACTTGTTCGTTCAAAAGTCAGACTGTGATTATGGCGGTTAAAGAAAACTTTTATGCTAGAAATGTGTATGTAGTTTACTTAGTTAATTTTATTTATCTAGTCATCGGCATATCAATTCCATAAAGGCTTTCGTCGATAAACTCTATAAAGATGTTATTTATATACAATTGTTAATTTGTAAAAAGTGTCTTAGAAGTGTAAACTGGAAAAACGAATATTTTAAATAACTGTTTCGTAATCTGCCAAAAAATGTAATTAAGTTACTGAGACTCAACTGAGATACCAAAACAAGTCGAGTTCAGTTATATCAAAACTGAAGCAGTTATCCATCAGTGGCAAAGAACAACCTTATGCTATATTGTAAATTGATTGAAGTGAGAAATAAAAACTACTAGAATTCCAGTTATTCCTCTAAAGACAGTGTTCTATGAATAGCCTTAATATAAATCTTGACAACACAGTGGATAAAGGTAAACCAAATGTACCATAATACTCAGTTTCTTACGAATGGTTCAAATAAAAATGATCGTTCAAGAAATTAACTGTATTCATATCTGATAGTTGAAGTTATGTCTGTTAAACTCATTTGATTGGTAAAGGTATAGTGTGTGCTACTGATGTCGATAGACATAAGCAGTATGTATCATCGATCTAAAGTGAAATGCCTGGAGACAGAAGGTTAAGAAAACCAAAGAGAAGAGAACGAGAACAGAAAATGATTGGTATGGGAATGAAGGATCAATGAAGTCTGAAACGATTCACTGATATTTTGTATATGAAGTATTTACCATATCATTCTCAGATTTTACTAAGATTTTATGTAATTTTGTGCCCAAATACATTCGATTGTCCTCACTTATGTTCTCGTTTACTACAAACGTAATATATTTACAAGACAAAACAATTACAGTTTATTCAAATGTCATTGAGTTTTCTTCCCTAAGCTCTGATAATATTATCCAAGACGTTAATGAAAGTTTCTCACTTAAATCATCCCTTCTTAAAAACAAAATTTTTTTTAACGAAATCAAAATATATCCACTTGATATGCAAATCTCTATCGTTACAAGCTGTTCATTTCCATAAAATAAAATATTATTCTAAATAATCATTCTTTTATTTATAATATAAAAATCTAGATAAAAATCAATAAAATTGAATAAAACATCTATGAGGAATGCATTTCCTTTTAGAAAAAAAAGTACTTCTTGTTTACATTCTAGTACAGAAAAACAGCAACAACGAAAAAGAAAGAGAAAACAATATTGCAAAATTTTACAAGTTATCTCGATATTGTTACAAAATCCAAATTATTAGTTTATTTCAATGGTTAAGATCATGAGCCAGTTGAAGCTAGACCACCATGGAAAACCTGGAAGCACCGGACAGTCGTTTCGTCCTATTATGCTTGCCGTTCAGTGCTTCCAGGTTTTCCATGACGGTCTAGCTTCAACTGACTAATGATCTTAACCATTGAAATTACTATAATATCCACAAAACCCATCTGATATTAGTTTATTTATTAGAAAGATAAAGCGAAGAAATTTATTTCCTAAAATTTAAAATTACAATTCATTATTTGAATCCAAATGACTTTCTTTTTGTTAAAGAAAAAATGCTTTAGATTGTTTAAATAAACATTCAATTTAGTAAGATCATTTCTTTTTGTATTCTTGTTAAACGTATTGGTAACAGCCTATCATAGAAGAAAGAAAAGAAAAAACGAATAAAAAGAAAAATATATATAAAGCCATCTATTGATCAGTATCTTTTTTTCTTCTTTTTTTTCTTTAGAAAGTGTGACTTTTTAAATTCACTTGGTATTGTTTGGCTTGTATCTTCGCACTGAGGTTTAAGACTGCAATTAATCAGTCTGTTATTGGCATATGTGCATATTGCGCGTATGCCTCGATATTGCCTTAATTCACAAGCTTTTTGTAGGCTATGAGTCCCAGATTAAACATCAACTCTGAGATGCAGGTATATCCAGCTGACAAGTTCCAAATAGGACAAAACGCGCGTCCTGGATTCCACTGCTAGCCACTATCCATCATTGTTTACAAAAAGTGTGACTTTTTGTTGTTGTTAAAATTAATTTATTTATAAATTTAGATCAACTACCTTACTCGTTTACTAGTATTACATATGTGATATTATATTTAATATATATATAGATCATGATACATATGAATTCACAATGTTCAAATCATGTTATTTTGGTACTTAAATTCTTATTTACAGTGTATTGTTATATTTGGATGAAGAATAATGAATGGCAACTGTTAGGATCTACGTATGGACTGTTATTACATATATTGTTATGGTATAACTGTTAAGTAACTAGATCATATGTATATTTATATTCCTTTTATTATAAGCTTCGGCTTGATTTATTGACTACTATTATACGTTTTACTATTATTATGATATTCCTAATTTATTAGTAATAGTCTATCACAATTACAGCTAGTACAGGTTTACGCGTCATTGATCTGGTCTTATAAGTCGGTGTCTCTAATTAAGAATATTATCGCGTGATATATTAACAGGCCACAAACCATGACATGCATAAAAATAATTGGAAGCTTGATTTATGTTTATGAGGCGATACTTTTACTTTTTAAATCAACTAAGGTGCTAGAATGTATTATTATCTGCTCTAATGAAGCAGACCTCATAGACATTAACACTAATGATACTGATTGGGCTTTCCAAGCAATTTGATTTTTGGAAACACTAGTCAAGTCAGTTTTCTTATCAGATTTCGGCTTAAAGAACACATTTATTCATTGTCTCACTATCCCCAGCTAATAGTCAAGCTGAGAGTGTTGACAATACTTGCGAGCGAGCTCTCATCAAGATTATAAAAGAGAGAATACAACAACAAAAAGTCAGCCAGAATTTCCTGAGAATATACAGAGTAGCCCCTAATCTAGCCTTACTTGAGAGTGTCTTCCCAGCTGAATCAATATTTGGAAGGAGAATTAGGATTTTATTCGGCGATATTTGTCCACAAAGCAAAAACAGAGATTGTCAATCCAAGGTGAGGAGAATTAAACATCAGTTTCTTAGAAGGTTACCAGTGTATGTAAGAAACTTTCGACAATGGCAGCCTGTGTGGGTAGCATGTGCCATCGTAAGAAGAGTCGGTGATGTGATGTATAAAATCGATGTTTGAGGGAAATGCCTGACGCGGCATGTTAAAAATTACGGCAATCTAATTCGAATGAGGACCTTCCTAGCTCAAGTAACGGCTTGACTGAACGTTCACAGAACTTTCACATTTCAGTGATAGAATAAGATTTATTACGTTTGTGAGTGAAAAAATATGCCATACAGTATTAAGGTATCTTTCACACATATTAATATTTGCTATTAGTAAAAATAGTGCTGAAATTTATCTTTAATTACATGCTTCAATTCGAAATATCACGAATGTGAATATTGCTTATCAATTTATGATTTTATGCCTGCTTGACGAACTAAACAAATTATTACCTTGTCATAAAACCGATATAAATTCATTTTCTAAAAGATTCCATCAATTATATTCTTTAGAATTCATATGTACTCATACATATGACTGAAGTATTCATGGAGTTACTATGTTGAGCATCAGTAACTTATTCCAGCTTTTCGACAGGCCAATCTATTCTTTTTTTTGAGTCACGTTTTGACCTTGTTAATTATTCACTTATCAACCTTGACTGTTTTTATATGAGCATGAGTGTACATCTTATCCTACTCATCCATATCTGTAGCTTATTTCTGCATGACTATAAAAAAATATTGATTAACGCTAGATTAAATTGAGTTGGTTCACATGCCTTCTCCACCGAGCATCATTTCAATTTTCCCTCTTCTCTTCGTTTCCTTCGCTATGCCCCTCTAATTGTCTGTCCAGATCAATGAGTGTACAAATATACGTATTCAAAATCCATTCTCGTAATTGACTTATTTAATTCCGTTATACACTAACACGAGTGAACTCGATAATTATATAGAAGGATTGGCGATATGTTTATCTCAATAGCAATCAGAAACAATTCAAATGGAGTCAGATATAGGGCCACAAAAAAGTAATCGAAAAAGAAAAATATTTCCACATTATTAGGATTTTTATTATCTAATAGTTTAACATGATTCCGTATCAATTATTTTATAAAATAATTCAGAATATTTCAGGTTGTTGATGTAGTAAATAATAATGTATGCAGATCTTCGTAGGTTATTTAATGGTATGAAAGCCTATCAGGACTTTTTATTCTTATAAGATGATTATTGTTCTATTAATGAAGTAGTAAAACTTACTATATGTGTATCTTGTAATATACTTCTTATAGTAATCTTGAATGCAACAGTAATTTAAGATGACCTTGATTCTGTGAAATTAATGCATTCAATGAAAAATCCATAGAGAGAATTTTGCAAATACTTTAGACCAGATATTTTTAACCAATTTTAGCAAATACTGTAAATGGTGTGAAGAAATTGGTGCACGGTTTTTCTCACCGTAGATGTTCAAGGTTAATATTCATAGGTGGAAGGAACAACAGCTCACTAAGCACTGAATGCATTAATTGTGTACAGTAAATATTAACATTACAAGGTAAATGAAACTGAGAAATTATACCTGACTTACACTCCGAAACCGATAGTAATCGATATGAGTAAGCCGCACATAAAGAAAACAGCACCAGGAAAAGCGTGTACAGTCCCGGCATAAATAAGTGGGAAGACTGTTAGATTGATCAGAAATCCCATAAGTGAAATAAATGTTCCAAGAGATAGCATGAAACCTTTTAATAAATTGAATAAAAATCCAACAAAAATTACGCTTAACTTTACAATAGCAATTTGTTTTGCAAAGTGAAAAACTGAGGGAAAATAAACAATACTAGGACTACCTGATATTGTTCACTGAAGTTTTATGGTTTTAAATACATCAATATAGCCTCAGTGGTCTTAAATGCTGTTAGAAGTATGAGAGCGGTTATCAATTCCCGGTTTGTCACACCGTGGATGGGTTCTTCTAGAGGTACCTGAGGAGGGAATTGGATTAAAGGTGGTCTTAGTGACTTGAGAGTGTGACCCCAATGCACAAAGGACAACTGCTTGAGGTCGGTCACTCACGACCTTTTTGTGAGTAGTTCTCGTGTTAGCTCCGTACTTGTTGAGACCTTACCACCGGAGACGGATATCCGTGGGCTAAGGCGACGTGTGCATTTTTAGGGTTGACCTTTCCTAACCTCACCCCTGCTTGTAGGAAGGCAGCATCGCTGTTATGCTGGTTGTCTGTAGGAAACACCATACTACTGTCACACCTCTGTACAATCAGCAGTATGATTTCGCCCTTGGACGATGGGTTTGCTGCTTTTAGTCTTATCGCTCTTCAACCGACCTGCATGATATAGTGGCACCTTGAGTAATGACTGTTAAAGCCAGTATAGCTCGATTGGTTCATCACGATAGGCAAGCCCGATCATCACATCAATATAGCAACAACAGTCGGGACAATATAGTCTACTGGAAAATAGAATGTTAAATAGTAGTCTTCAGAAAACTTAGGCGTTGAATAAATCTTAGATCATCAACTAACGACCTAGTGTATTTTTGTTATGCCAGTGTCAAGCTGAAACGGGTCGTATCATTTCTCTTAATTTACAAAATGATAATAAAAGTTTGCATCACTACAACGTGGTTGGATTCCGTCAGTTTCAACTTCTCGATAGAACTTGAGAAATTTCTTGATAAGAGTAGGATAGACTGAAGCTAGAAATTGGACCAGCACATTCTAACGTGGTGGTTTAATAGTTAAATACTCTTCAGTTCTATTCCTAGTATAGTACTTTTTTGACTGTAGCAGAGTTCCATATCAGCAACAAGTTGTTTGGAAATTACTGGTTTTCTATTTAATGCTAATCCATGTCTAATATCACTCATAAAACAAAGTCTCCTACACAAAAATCTCCAATTTAATGAGAATTGAGCATGATAATATTATGAAGTTTCTACATCCTTTGTTTTTTGGTAATGTATGCGTCTTATATACGACCAACTATACTTCAAATTTAAACAGTAGAGACGAAACAACACTTCATTTTACAATTGACCTACTGTCAGTGGTTCACGGTCTACTGAAACCGAGACAAAACGTTCAATTCATTAAATGTACTGCTATCTTATCAAAAAGCATGTTTAGAAATATAAATAAAATCAATCAATAATAAGAAATTTTGTAGTCAATTGAATTTAACTTCCTATCACGCTACGGAGAAGAAAAACAACCGCTCAGAAAACACTTATCAAATTTAGAATCCTTTTGGTATATTTGTGGATTTATATTAGTACGACCCCGTAATTTCGCATTATAAAAAAAATACTAAAAGCTTTATATGCGAGTAAAATTTCTCCAAAACAACAAAATAGGTTGAGAAAATTTGGTTAAGTTACCACCAACAATGTTGAATCATCACAATACTAGTTACAATTTGTTCAGATTTCTTCGGTTATATCATTGTTTAACCATACAAAGTGCGTTTTATTGTTTAACTGTGTATTTCTCTTACAGTTCTGATATTTTTTATATGCCGAGCAATCACTCAATCGACCGGAGTGGAAATGTCTAGGAGTAACAGAGTCAGCTATGAAATCAGACTGAAAGCTCAATCAGAAGTGTCATTTTCACTCTACATTTGTTTGTTGTATACCACATGATATCTTGCCCAAAAATGCCATGGTACGGCCGAAAATGGGGAGAGTTCTTTGACAGTCTTGAAGCCCTCTCATATGGCAACGCGTATAAAGCCACTGTTAGGGAAGTCCTATTCATTGCGTCCTCGCGGCAGAAGGTTTCATATACGAAAATGAGAGGACAAGAAGCAAATTTCCGGTGCTTAGACTGAGTTGTTGAATTTGATGACCCCCCCCCTCCATAATTGGAAAACTCTTATTCAAAACCAATGGTACGCATGGGCTTCAGGATCCTGTCGGAATAAATAGCGTATGAACTTATTATAGGTAATCGACTGCCATACGACCGCATCTGCTAAAGTTGCTCCACTCCTTTGTGGATCAGACCTCAGGGTCAAAGCTCGGGGAGTAGCATTTTAAGCAAACCACTTGTTTTAGTTTGGGCACCCAGGTAGTATACCAGCCTACAAACAAATTGGATGGTAACTACTTTATACAGCGCATGTATATTTTAATCCTTCTTTGTATCAACGTTTATATGCTTAAATAAATAAGTAAATCGATAAATAAAAACGATATCTTAGCCATGGACACTTTTTAACGTATATTCCATTCCGAAATCTACTTCATTAATACACTCACTTAAAAATTTTCACTAGTGACATATACGTTTGGTTTGGCATAAAATCGTAACCTTTTATTATCCTTTGATGATCATCAACAAAATAAATTCGTTATCTTTTAAAAAATACATATGTTTTGATAAATAGTATACAAATTTACATTTAGAATAAACAGCAGTCTTGAATCATTTCACAAAGTAAAGTACTCTTTCACCATATAAATTAATGTATTGACCTCCAATCTATTAATTGTACCAACAATCAACGGTAATGATGATTCATTTTAAAATAATGTTTTTAGTAACTGGAAAGATTGTACTAGATATAGCTCAGAAACAACGGATTTCTACATATTCATATCTCATTTGATTATTTAAACTTCCATAAATTTCATGGTAATAGACTGTTTTCTCTGACACAACATTAAAGTTAAACACTAACTGGTTGGAATAAATTTCAAGTGAGATAACGTAACTTAGTCATCCCAGGAATTTCAAAATATTATTGCGCATGGCTTTAAAACTGAAATAACAAATATTAAGCAAAGATGAATTGTAGCTAGCAGTAGAATCCAGGATGCACATTTCGTCATATTTTGAGACGCCAGTTGATGTTCACTCCAGGACTCGGGCCTAGTACCGTTTGCTTCAAATGCCATCGTGTTGTCTACTTAGCTACTGAGTCCAGATAACCATTAGATTGTGCATTGTAGTGAAACTTGATTCATTTATGCTCATAATACCTGTAACTTAAAATAATATCGAGTCAATCCACACAGAATGAACATATTCCAATAAGAAACTGATCAATTGAGGTCCTAAACATTAAACCAACAATATATAAATGAATTGAAATCACAAATGTTTAATAAAACAAAATATATTTGATTGCTATAACAATTTCCCTTAAAATCGTCTACAATCATTACTAACATACCTTGTTTATCATTTGGTGTTATTATCGAGATCATAGTTCGAATTGGTGCAACAAGTGTATTTTTCACCAATCTTACAGCTGATGCTTATGGAAAAATGAAAGAAAATCAAAAATTCTTATTTAATGCTAGAGTTGAGGATTTTATAACACATTTATTCAACAAATATGTCCACCTTTAGTTAGTTTTAAATAATGAAATATTTTCCGGAAATATTAAAATATTAAACTCTAAAGTTATTGAGCGACTAGTCCAAACCCTTCACTACCTACATTGTTGCGGTAATACAAATTAAATCACCAGCCATCACATGACTTAAATATGAATATATACGCGTATATTTTGAAAAAATGTATGATGTAAATTAAAAATAATTGGACTTTCAGCATCTTTTGATGCCATACGCATAATCCTCCATTTCAAAACTACATCATCAGTGAGACTATAATTTATGGACGACCTTTGAGCGACATCAAAGTGATCTTGAGTGTCCACCTACTTACTAGGGCTAAGTGAGTGTTATAAAACAGTCTGAAAAGTAAGGATTATGATTTAGTTGATGGTTAGGGTTAGGAATTAGATCTACGTTTTCTCATCACGAACTGACATCAGCTAAAATGTCAAAATGCTGTTTGGCCACATAGGTGGGTGAATTTCACGCCTAAATCCAAGACCTGTTATCCTATATCTGATTGGACCGTCCATAAATTATAGTCTCGCCAAATCTTCTACCATGTTAGAATAGCAGAAACCAAAATATTCCTCTAAACAAATATTATTTTGTATATCATGTAAATTAATGTTGTCTAATCATTACTAAGAATTACACTATTCAGTCTGATAGCAAACTCTAATTTCAGTTTGCCGAAAAATAATTTGAGAATCCTTACCAAAGCATTAATGAAATAGCTGAATTATTTATCTTACCTCCATAAACAATGTAATTAGCAGTAGGTAAAGTGAATAAGAATGCAATACCCATCAATATTCTGTTGATTAACATAAATCCGAATCCTATGAATATCACAGTTGTAATCATAAATAGTATTCGTATTTCTTTTGATGTAATTTCCATGGAATTATATTCCGCAACATATTCTTTTGTATCACCCATGCTGCATAATTGTAATATACGAGTTTGTTCCCAATTGTAAATTGCCACAATGAATGTGATGGACAAACATGCTGACAAAGCATCAGATATACCTCTGAAATGGTTAAAATTTGAAACAGAAAACCAGTTGCATAAACTATTTTGTTGGCAATATTAGTGTAGATTAAGTAAAACTATGTTCCATTTAATATCTAGGTGGTAACTAAAACTGACAAATCTTGGTTTTCCTTGTGTGACATTCTTAATTTTTGCAGTTTATAAAATACTACTGTAAATATTGAAGTAGTTTGTTATTTTTTTAACAATAATAATAAATTTAGCGACCGGATGGGAATAGAAAATACATTGACGATCTCATACAATCAATACGAAAATTATGAGACAACTGAGATTTCGAAATACTCAGTACTTAATAAATATAGTCCAATAAAAAGTTCCAAGAGTTACCCTGGTCTATAAGGGATTGATACTGGGCTAAACGATTATAAATCACATGAAACCCAGTCGCTAATGTAGAATAATGAACTGGAAGATATGAAGAAATTTCAACCCATCGTCTTACTTTCATTAATACGGTATTAATCTCTAGCTAAATCTCTTCAATAACATAATAAAATTCATTTATCAATACTAATTCTTTGATTAATAGTGCAGTTTATCTGTGAGAGAGTATAGTGTTAGTGATCATAATGCAGGCTTATAAATTCCAAACAGTTCTACTACATCCTACTGGCATCCTAAAAGTATGGTTATTTTTAGAGAGTATTCGATTTTGAAAAAGAACTATTGACTTTTAACAATGTAATCACGGCTAGTTACTGAAATACTTGGTCGAATTTCAGATGGTTTATAGTAGAAATTTTCAAAACAACCTGAAATTTAAATCTGTCGGAATGTAAATTATTAATTCATCTAGTTCTCAGACTATTCTTTAACTTGTAAACAGGGACGTGTTAACAGTACCAAATAAAACTAGGGTTCAATTATTCACTTATTTTATAATAAAGAAATACTTAGCTTATGTAAAAATTACATTACTTAGATTTGAGTATAGTGTAGACAATTGATAGGTTACAGTAAATGATGTAATGACGCTGATAATTTTTATAGGTAAATATAAGTGTATTACTTGTTATAAGCCAGTTCGGCATTATAATCTTTTGTTTGAATTAAATATTTTATACAAAATTTTGTTAGCTTGTGTCTTAAAAGGTGGTAACAGATCGACATAACTGATAGATATGCCATTGAATATATAATTGGATCACATCACAATAGCCCACCATATATGTTAAGAAAGACATTGTATTCATTTTTAAACATATCAAAATGAACAGTCATAATATGGGTTAATCATATTTATCATAATTAAGCTAGAGATAGCTTTATATATTTCGTGATAGGATGTTAAGTGATCTTCAACCCAGGTAAGTAATCTTTGTGTTTGCAATGTTTCAAATAACGCTGCTCCAGAAACTTACCTACCGAAATACATTTTGATGAGTTAAGATAAAAAGACTCGAGACAACCTTGTCGACAATACCATAGTCGAGGTGAATCACGAAAGAATATAGAGGTTATATATATCCCCCTTATAGTAAAATTGACTAGGCTGCACCAAGGTGGTTAGTTTTTCGAGTGCAGTGTAAAAAGGGTACACTTGAAAAGCGACAAGTCATGTTCACTGTCCAAGACGTATCAGGATTGGGAGACCACCGAGTTAGAGATAGTCTCCCAGTCGGGTGCCAAATAGCATGAAACCTAGATCTGAGGTGTCCTGTTGACTACCCCCCAACCACCATCTTACAGAAGTAATATTTAGCATTATTTGCTATTAATGAATTAATAAATGATCCACAATATTCTATCTGGTTTGGTCATAAGTGGTCAAAATGACTTTTATGTGTTTATGTTATTGTAGCCGTATTGATGAAAACTTTGTTCAGTGAACAACTTTGCAGTATTATCACACTTATATTCTTCCACTATATATTCGAGATTATTAAAACAATGGTAGAAGCACATGATGTATCAGGGTTGACATTAATAAAGAAAAACTGTATTGTGATTTCTATAGACATAGAAATGAGTCATTCTATTATCAGCAATAACAGTTAGTTATTCTTCAGTAAAGTAACATTAAGCTCTTCCGATCAATTTCAAAGAAATTATATTTACCATAGTGATTAACATTAAAATGGCTTTTCTAGGACTGTATGACTTGTATAGCAACTTGGCAAATACCCATAAATTTAGTGCTGTTATAACGCAATGAAAGAAAAAATGACAAAATATTACATAATCAAAATAAACAACTGAAAATATCTTTAGAAAAACTTTGTTTTATACTAAAACGTAATATCAGTGAATATCAATGAGAAAAAAACATGGTACAGTTCAACCATGTCTCTGAGTTCGATGTACTGATAGTGGAAGGTGAGCAAAACTACCGGGAACAGCTGTACAATGGCTTCTTGTTTCTACTGGTTCTCCAAATAATATCAGCTTACTAAGTAAAGTTCTCTAAAGAATCCGGAAATATTGACAAAATCACTACTTATGATTAAGTACTAAATAAATGAATATGGAAGTTAACGTCGATGCATATAAATTACTTAATTATAAAGTGTAGTTATCCATTATAAATGTTACTGTGATTTGCTATAAGTGGGAAGTACCGTTTGTCCGTTCGATTTTAATGAGTACAAAAAAAACGAATAATCAGCTGTTGATTGCATATCATCAGTTAGTTTATTTTGCACTCACGCATATAATCCGACTGTTTGTGCATTCCAAAAAAATGGACAACCCATTAAATATATGTGGATATACTGCAGATCTCCTACAACTGTCACAGATACGGAAAAAAGCAATGTCATTACTATTCTCGATAAAGGACTAGAATGTCGAATCGCCTAAAAGAGAGGCAAGAAATGAAAAACGATTTTGAAATTAATTTAGCATGTCAACTAATTAAGAGATTATAAGGCTTAACATTTAATGAATTCGACATCAGTGTTTAGTTAACAATTACCCTGATCAATTTCATACATAGTCTCAGACTCATTCCGTTGGACAACGATATGTTATTATTCGTATGCGAAATACATTGAAAGCACAATTATTACAACCTTACAGATCAGTAGATGAACCATGATGAAGAAATTTTAGTTCATGATGAAGTACAGAGACTGCTTCAGATAACTTAAAGTATGACCTGTTAAATGGATTTATTTTCAATTCAGAATAATTAATAAGTTGTAAACAGACATTTGCGCACGCATTAAAAAATGTTCACTCATAAAAGATTGGCAGCTAGACCTGGGAATACATTTTAACAAATAACTAAATTAGAACGATTCACTGTTTGGTTTTTAAAAACAGAGGATAGATTCTCATAGAGGCTTGTTAAAGTTAGTCTCCCCTTCTAATACTTACTTACGCCTGATCACCCTCGTTCAGGAACATATGCTGCCCACCAGCATTCTCCGTCGAACTCTGTCCCGCTATTCATTTGATGTCTGCTTCCGATTCTCGATATAGTGTGTTTCTTGTTTTTCCACGTTCACTCTTTTATTCATGATTCCAGGTTAGGGATTGCCTCTTGATGCAGTTTTCTGATTTACGCAATATATGTTCTATCCATCTCCAACGTCTTTTCCTGGTTTCATCTATGTCTTGTTTTCGTCCACAGCAGATTATTGCTAATGTTATCCTTCAATAGAACGTGGAGCATAATTGCAGTTACTTTTATGTCTGACATCGGTGCTTCATGTGGTATATTGTCAAGTGCTGCTGTTTTCCCACACTTGATTTGTCTGTCATTGAATTTCAGTGACTGGCTTACCTTCTTTGTCCTTGGTCGGTCTCTCTGGTTCACTTTATTTCCCTACCAGTTTCTACGTTGCGTCATACAGCTCTCTCATGTTTCCTTCTGTGCTTCTTTGATCCTTTTCCAATTGTCTTTCATAGTAGTTTCTTCTTCTTTCAATAGATCTTGTAAGGCTTGAAACCTGATGTTGAGATTTATCTTCAATTCGTTGGGCTTGTTAGTATGTCGAAGGAAGGCTGTACTGGATCTTAGTAGTGCGGTTTCCTCAGTTCTCCAGTGCTTCTTTAGCTTCACTTTCATCTTGACCACAACTAAGTGGTGATCTAAACCTATGTCAGCTCTTCTCTTGAATCACACGTCTTCAATTGACCTTTTAAACTTTTCATTGTTGCAAATATGATCGATCTGGTTCTCTGTAGATTGAGCCGATGAGATCCATGTAGCTTTGGGTATGACTTTGTGGGGGAATATTGTACCGCTTATGGCCATTTTGTTGATACACATAAATTTGCTAATCTACCATCATTCTTGTTCCTTTCTCCCAGACCATGTTTTCCCTTGACGTTTTCATGTCCGGTGTTGTCCATTCCGACAATGGTGTTTAAGTTTCTCACCAAGATGGTGACATCCTTTCTTGGGCAGTTCGCTATGATTGATTGCAGTCTCGAGTAGAACTGATCTTTATTGTTGTTTTTGCTATCATTGGTGTGTGCATAACATTGGATAACATTCATTATGATCCACTCGTTTGTTTTGAAAGATGATTTGATGATACTAGATGCATGAAATTTCCATCCTATAAGTGCATTTCGTTCTTCTCCGGACAGCATTAAAGCAACTCCCTGAGTGTGTCGAGATTTTCTTCTTAGTGACCGGAGTACAGCAACATCTCTCTCGCACCCAACCTTTTCTGTCCACCTTGTGTCGAATGTGTTTCACTTATTCTGAGCACCGCTAATTTGTATCTTCTTATTTCCGTAGCTATTTGAATAATCATACCGGTCTTTCACGTTGTCCGGACATTTTACGTACTTATATTCATCGTTGCTCTGGTGGTGTTTAGAAGAAGCATGAATCTCGTGACTTCTGAAAAATCTCAGCCTTCTCCATGAAGCATCATAATTCTCCTAAATGAAGTTTCTTCCACTCGGAGGGTAGAGTTAGATGGTTTGATTTGTTTACCCGAGTTAACGCCTTTTAGCAAGGTTCTTTTCTACGAGATGGGGTTGCTGACGTCATGTCCAACCTTACTCCTTTATCCAGCGTTGGAATCGGTAGTAATCCTAGGGAAGCTATAAGCAGAGTTTTAACTTTTCCCTTGAATAAAAATATTTTAAAAATGCCTTTATTTAAAGAATACATGACAAAGAACTAAACAAGTAGGAAGAAATTCAGTATTTTAAGAATGGTTAAAGAATACGTTGTGGTATTGGTAAAAATAATAATGTTGACAATAAGTATCTTGTGTGGATATTTGTATAAGAAAATGAAAAGTCACGTGGTAATTACAAGTATTCACATGTTAATTATTTCATTAAATGTGTTTACAACAAAAATTCCGAATAGTACAAAAATGTGATATTTATATTAGGTAAAATTATGTGTACAGTGTATCTGACTTGTGAAAATCATACTCTAGTATTGTGGTGAACGAGATCACAAGTCGGGACAAGTGAATGTAAATGAATATAAAATTACAGAATATATTGGTAAAATCTAAGAACGGTACAGTAAATACTTCATTTGCAAAGTTTCAATCAATCGTCTCGGATTTCATTGTTCTTTCATTTCCAGACCAACTACTCATTGTTCTCGTTCTTTTTTCTTTGAACCTCCTAACCTTCTATCGCCAAGTATTTCCTTCTTGAATGATGATACATACTACTTATATCTATCGACATCAATAGGGCACACCACAGTATGAGCAAACGTGTTTGATCAATATGTACAACAAAATATGACATGATGTTTGTGATAGTTACATATGACAGTTTTTAAAACCTCTTATAATGAGTAAGGAAAATTTTTGATGACTAAATTCGTAATTGCCATAATGATAAAAAATACAGAATAATTAAGTATAAACGTGTTTTAATAAATTAGTGAAATAAACCATAATGATAAATGATTAGTGGTTTTTTTTTTGCATAGATATTACAAAGTTTTGTACATAGATTAAATAAAATTAACAGCCGAACGATAACTGCATTAACGAGTTAGTACTCATATCGATGTTATTATTTGTCTGAGATAGAAAATCATTGTAGATAATAGTCAGTATTATGAATGAATATTACCAGATCCTCTTATTGCAAAATAGCTGAATTCATTTACAAGTGATAGTTTTAAGTATTTTTGTGATCTTCATTAAAAGTTTCTGAAAGGATTTATAATACCATTGCTGGTACTTAAAAATCGATTAAACTACTATATTTAGTTAACTGACCTACTACAATTCAATCGGTGGACATATCGACCAATAATTCAGTTTTGTAAAGATATAGGTAAACTAGTCGGTTCCAAAAAAATAGTCTTTTTCTACCCAACTGAAGGATTCATGAACTTTTTTTGTTTTCAAAATTTTTTAGCTTGAAAACGTGTTTCTTTCTTTTTTTTAAACAAACATTTAAACCGTGTGAAATCATTAAATTCTTCTTGAAATATTTCGTTTTACAACACATTAGATTATGAAAGTGAACCTAAAAGAAGAAGTTAGCATGTAAGGGATTTTAAACTATGTTACTTAATGACGTCACCCAAACTAGTTGTATGGTAAGTGTATTTAAGTATTTGTGAAGTTTGTGACATGACGGCAAGAAGCGTAAGGGATGGTCTATAATGAACTATCTCTACACTTAATATAGATAAACTCCAGAATTCATTTATGACCCATCCGTATTCATATTCAGTCTTTAACGAAACAAGTAAATATAAGACTTATATGCGCCCAAAAATGATTTTTAATATTTACACTTGAATAAACAGTGAGTAGTGACCAATATTGTTCATTTCAGGTCCTTCTTAATATTGATCGAATTCTATAGGTGAGTTTGCAATGTAGCCACTAGTCTAAGTGATTCGACATCGCGTGCATCATACTGTGTGACAGAGTGGTAGTTGGAAGTAATCGATAGGAATCTCTGAACCTGGGTTCTATATTGTTTACCACTTGTCATCAAAACGTGTCTGTGATCTTGAGGGGAATAGCGCTCCCCGGCGGCTTTGATTCAGTGTCACCTAGCTTCAGAGTCAGAGACGTTACTACACAGCTATTCTGGCCACTACTGACCTTCTGTAAGACTCCTATTGACTAAATTAAACCCTTGCCATTCATTTTAATTGATTTAGAATAATTAAACAGGAAAAACCAATAATTATTCAATGTTTGCCAACATGAACATTTTGAATGTGTCTATAACTGAAAATTTACTGTTATTTTAGAGGGAGATGAAGTGCTATATTACTGTATATAATTGCGTTTAATTCACCAGAAAATATCCAGCTGTCAATGTATATTGATTCACTTTAAAACAAGTCACATAGCTATCTCCAGTAGCGATCATAGTGCATGAAATTCTTCTCTATGGTTTAATCCATGTAATGCTTCTTACAAGTAAAAAACTGGTGTTTCACCACGTAGAGTTTATTACTTGATGCCCTCATATAAGAAACGTTCCACAAGTGTAGGTTGATAATAAGCTAATCATCATTCAGTGATATCAAGTATTGAACAAGGTGTTCACTTTCTTCCTTTGTCTCACTGATTTTAATGTTTTAAAAGACCGTTAATTAACACGGATTTTCTAATGAATCAAATACAAGATTCAAGTTCACTGGTTTGTTCATACGAATCAAAAAAATATTTTTATGAAAACTAGTTAATTGTGTAAACGTTAAGACTAAAATCAGAGAGTTAATTTATATTTCATTAATCTATCCTAGTTTAACAGGTATAAAACTGAGTTACTGAAGCATTTTTTACTAGAATTATTATTTACATCTGAAGAAGCTTTTTAATATTCATGTACAGACAATACGTTCTACAAAGTACGTAACCAGCTATACTATAAAAGATATGATAAGTGGAAGATGATGTGCTCCAGAAGCCATATAACTTGACCTGATATAAAATTAATACTAACCTTGAGCATTTTTATAAATATTCTCATTATTTTAATGATAAATCCACTTGTTTTAATTTCTAAGTAAAGTAGACCATCTTCAGCATATCTAGATTCACTATATTGACAGATAGCATTATTTTGTGGATTACGTCTTCTCCTTAATACATCTGGATTAGTCTCAGGAAGAATTGATAATCCAACTACTGAGGTAGTATATAATCCAATGCATATAGTAACAGAGAGACCGAATCCCAAGCGGTGTACTAGTATACCTACAAAATTAAATTCTACATTTAGATGTAAAATATTTATTTCTTGAAATGGATGAACTTTTTGTATAATAATGGGATGTTCGAAGAGTTTATTTATTTATGGTAAAAGTATATATTAACCCAAACGGAATTTATCAACAGAAGATTTGTAAAGTGTCTCTGTATATGAACTATGATAAGATTTTTATCAGAATGGGTTTTGTGGAGAGTTTTAGAAATTTCGCAGGTTGAAATCATGAGTCGATTGAAGCTAGACTACCATGGAAAACCTGGAAGCACTGGACGGCCGTTTCGTCCTAGCATGGGACTCCTCAGCAGTGCGCATCCACAGTGTACATATTAATTAAATTAGTATTCATGTTAAAACACCTAAAAACATTAACATGTTTTCTTTTATATGAGAAGTGAAAATCAAAAGGGTTGTTTACGTGAACAACCATTATTCTTTTGTAGTTATCACTATAAATGATCTTAAGGAGCAAATGGGACTTGTCACCATCTCGCACGCGAGATTCGAACCCAGGACCTTCGTTCTCACCGATTCTTGGTCTCAGTCAAAAACTCAACGATCTTGAAAACCCTATACTGACAATTTACTTTTAAAGATAATCTACAATTTTTACAATAACTTACTGTGGTAAGTACCCAGGTGGGAGTTTGGATGTTTTAATTTGTGAATACACTTCTCACTTGAATAAAGCAAGTAGATCTATGCAGTCAAAAGAAATAGGTTCAGCTACATCCATTAAACCCTTTATTCTCTACGTTTATCACAAGGTAATTTGAGTTAACAAAGTTACATATTGATCGCAAACCTGCATTTGATTGAAAGCTTGCTCTTTCTATATTTGTTTCAGAATACTTATTTACATAATAAGTAAATCACAATGTGGATGAACATTCCATATGACTAGCAATTATATCGTTGTACATTTCTTCTACACATAGTAATACTAATAATCTCTTAGTTTAATTTCAAAATCAGTTGGATACAGTTAGTCATTACAACTAGTTTGTTTTAATATTGACAATATTCATCCCTGGTTTGTTAACGAAGTTGAACAGTTTTTTTTGTTTTAATTTTAGAAACAATTCCAAGTTTGATTGAAAAAATATCATTAATTAATACAAGTATTTAATAGATTGTTTCAGATATTAGATTCCTTATACTTGTGCATTGACTATATACGGCATCGAAAATGTTGCAATTATTTGGGGAATAGTGCTGTAACTAAGTATCTGCATTATTGCTAATGATATTACAGTAAATTTTTAATTCTCTCTATGAGCTATATTCAAACATTTTTTGACACAAATAAAATTATAACTAGCAATAAATATATTATAAATTCTTTTAAAATGTGGGCATATTTTGTGTTGCATTTGCGCGTTACACCTATATTGTCTAATCGTACCATTTGATTTCCTACATGAGTTAACGTATTTTATCACCTTATTTAAATGAATAGCTGGTTAGGATGTTTATTCTAGAACAGCTAGCAGTGAAAAGTAATACTCGAATTTCGTCCCATTTAGGATTCACCAAATGAGTGTACCAATGCATGCATTGATTTCCACGCCGAAAGTCAAACCTAGTGCTTCTCACTTCAAACCGCTACGCGTTTTCTAATGAGCTATTGAGTTCAAATGGACTCTGTCTTGTGCAGTGAGAAATGAATTTTATTGTTTATCTGTAATAGTTTTAATCTTTTCGTTGTGATTTACTTGCGATATCGAGGTAGTCCGCATAGGATCCACATATTACAGAAACTACTGATCAGAATTAAGTCGTTCACACCAATAACCATAGGATTTAAACCCTTACAAATAATTTTTAATAAGTCTATACCATAGAGGTTTTGGAATTTTGTTTCAAATTATCATAGTCAGAAGTCAGACAGACTAATGTTTGAAGTTGATTTATCACTTAATTGCCAGATTTGTTTAAAAAATATTATTATTTATTAAATGCTCGTCAAATGTCTAGTGATCTTTCACTTAAGATTCAGTGTACTCGACTATGACTTATACTGCAAAAAATATAGACGAAAATCAAAAGTAGATTGTAGGCAGACTTTAAATATCAATTCATGAGACTGGAGCTCAAAAGTTGGATATCAAACAGGAAAAATGGGTTCCGTATATCCAACATCATTAGTTTTATTTCCGACATAATCACCAAAATAAAGGACTTACAAACAGTGTTAATAGACATTTGAAAAATAACTCTACTTGGTAGACTATATATTCAATCTATTAGTTTTAAAATTACCTCATTGATAAAGTGAAATTTAACATATTACTTACCTCCAATTAGACTACCACAAGCATGACTTAAACCTGCCAAACTATCATACATTGTAAAAAACAACCACCTGTGCTCTTTAGACGTATATTGTTGATTTAAACTTGAGGTATTGGAATTTTCATTAGAATCTTCCGGTTGTACAGTGATATCAGCTAAACATGCAGATATTTGAGCAGTGAATGATACAAGACCACCGCCAAAAATTCCTTCAAATAAACCGGGAAAAACAACTGTCCATGGATTCAAATTTAAATAGACGATAAAACCTACATGAATGTTATAAAAAAAGAATATAGTTCAAAAAAAATTTGTAAAACAATCAACTAACCATGACTGAATTGCTACATTAGAAAAAAATAAAGTGAAAATGTAGTAAAGTCACCCATATTTTTTTAGAATTTTTTCGCTAGTAAACATCGAAGTACCAATAAAGCTCATTACAGCAATCATTAATAATAAACAATATTTGTTTCCATCTAAATAAACAATAAAGCTTTAAAAAGTGGAAAAAAATGATTAGCAAGAAAGTTGTTTTTTAAAAAAAAACAAAAATCTCACCCATAAGGCCAATATATACTGCTTCACCAAAAATCAATATGCCTAAGGCAATTTTACGACCGAAACGATCTGATATATATCCAATAATAAGAACTGTTGCTAATCCAAAACTTAAACGTATAAGATTACTGATAGATTTTATCCAAGCAGCTTTTGCTTGGACTAACTTCAATTTTTTTTCATCTTCATCATATCTACATATCAGTTTATTTAATAAAAAAAGAAAGAAAAAAAACTTTCTGAGATAGAAAGATAATATCATAAGGGTTTTTGTGGATATTATAGTAATTTCAGTGTTTGAGATCATGAGCCAATTAAAACTAGATCATGATGGAAAAACTGGAAGCACTGGACGGCCGTTTCGTCATAGAATGGGACTTTTCAGAAGTGCGCATTCATAATCCCGCCCCGGCGATATTTAAACTCAGGACCTATCGGTCTCGCGCACGAACGCTTGACCTCTAGACCACTGAGACGGCATCCAACGGTGTTATTGTCTAACTTCAACCAATTCACGAAATTGAGCCACCGTCCACCATTGTCATCAATGAGTTATTATCTCACAACTGACTTGGTTGAACTCTACTGGTCATTGATTCTCACTAAAACTCCAGGATATACTTCCTGAAGCCAGTCGCTAGTGAGCATATGCTAATTAGTATGAGAAGAGAAGGAGTCCCACAATAGGACGAAACGGCCATCCAGTGCTTCCACGTTTTCCATGGTGATCTAGCTTCAATTGAATTATGATTTCAAACTTTGAAATAGAAAGATAAGTAAAAAAATTAACGAAATTCTAAATAGTTACTATGAAATTGTTGATGAAACTACTTAAATGAGTATAGGAATATGTATTGCAAATATGTTTTAATATGAGGTATTTAATGACTGTTAACTGAAATTGTTCATGTTGTTCTATATTTATAGTAGTTTCTGTATTCATTCTTATTGTTGGTTGAAATAAATAGAAGGGAGATTTAGTTTAATGTCAGAGTTCCAATAAGAAGATGCTTTACACTTAGTTAAAATAACTCACATTTTAATGAATCAATAGTTTGCCAATTAAACTACGAACCCTTGATCATACAGATGTTGTTTCTGCAAAATATGCGTAGATATTCGAGTATAAATATAATTATATACTCTGGAAGGTTGTGTACATGAAAGATGAATTAAATGCATTTGTCAAATATAGATATTTCGTTGGGTATTTTTTGTTTGAAGTAAATAGTCAGTGAATAATACTGGAATGAATTATGTTTTCTGATTTATATAACCTTGATATATGCAGTGTTATTCAATTAATGATAAGTAACTAATATCTAATTTTTTAGCTAGTTCGTGATAGTTAATAAATCGTATCTCCAGCCTTAATGAAAATGAATCAATATTTTCATCAGGAAATACAGGCTGCAATCAACATTCTGTCAAACCTAAATATTGACACAAATTGACCACTTTGAAGTAAACAGTTTTAAGTCTTCTTTGTCCTGAAGGATAACGTCTTTGATTTCCGACTGACTGTTTCCAATTATCTGACATTAGATATTGTACTTGTTTTATCGAGCATGACATTGATTACTATTCAGTGACACATAATTTAAAGTTACTTTTTATACTAAAAGAATAAGACATATAATCAATTGTTCAATAAAGATAAAGCTTTCTTTCATAAGATAGCAGACGACTAAAATATCGGTAAAACTGAGTAATGTTTTATTGTTTTATACTATTCATTAACTTCTATTTGTTCATTGAAGAAATGATGAACAATTCCAATCATGATACATTAAAATTGAATCCAATTCATATTAAAGTATTAGTTTAACATTTTTTTAATTTACTACTTACGATTCTTTCTTTCTACTATTACTAAGGAGATGGCCATAAGGTAGACCATGCTCCATTAAATATCTGTAAAATAATAAAAACCAATACAAGCATGGACGTAAATAATCGATATTCTTATTTATTTCACGAAACAAAGAACTAAAATGTATGTAGATAAAGTAAATTTTTCAATGTATTTCGATTTGATATCCTAAAGGACCTTTTAGATAATAAAAACATAACATAACACATAACACTGAATCCAATTGGTGTAACGAAGAGTAAACTATCTTCAAATTACACAAATTCTTAAATAAAAACGTTTTCAAGTATATTTTTGTGGAGTGAAATAGACTATTGCCGATTCTCACACTAGCTTCACGATGGGGTCAGTTATTAAACAGCCGGACATTAGTTTATATGAGGAAGTCATTGAAAGCTACACAGAGCTTTTCTAAATTGAGTTCGTGACCAGAAAAGATATTAAACATGATGAGTTCTCGGCACATCCCTTGAAACACAATTGGTTAAGATATGCATAGCCTGCATAAGAATCCGATTTTCCCAGGCAAACCAATTTCATTAACATATGAAACTTTCAGAGGATTATTACTCAGTCGTGTGCAGTGTGCCAGCCACCTCTTAAGAAAGAGAGAATCAAAATTTCATGAAATGGTGTGACAGAATGACCGGAAAGGCTGACACTTCGTACTTCAACTGCAGAAAAAGGCTGAAGTGTGCTATTTTGGAGGATAGTTGAAAATCCAATTTCGTGATCGGTTAACCACTGGGATACATATTGAGAATTTCGAAAGAGGAATAATTCGAAGACCCAAAAGTTTATTTCAGAAAATACAAACATCGTGTACTATGAGGCAGTTAATGAATTTAACTTCCAGTTAGCGAAAATCTCCAATAATTCGTTCAGTTTTTATGATTAATTACATTATCAAGGATGCTCAACTTCGCGTTCGTCAAATAACAGTTTTCATTATCATGGAAATATGAAAAACGATTCAGTACAGTCTTGAAGCAGCATATAACAGTGAGCACAGATCTGGTAAATGTTTATCCTGTGGTAAATAACATTCTCGGGAATTACATTCAATTCATGACGTCAAATCCTTTAATTATATTAAAATTAGACACATAAAGTTGGTGTGTAGGACTATTGTATATTTTGTTACTAGAGATTTTAAATCTTGTAATTCAGATCATAACAAGAAAAGTGTTTCTAATGGTCATATATTATATTTATCCACGATTTCGAAATGTACTTTTCACACTCGAAGGCAATTATACACATACTCTAGTTCATTCTGTGATTTTACAATTGATACAAACAGTAAAGAACCCAATGATCTATTAAAAAACCTAGTCTTTGGTTTCTAACACTGCAGTACAACCCACTGGTGTTTTGGTTTGAGGAATCGCCGGACACACGGAAGTAGTCTATTAATGACTAGAGATGACGGTTTTCCATCAATGCTTTGTGGGTTTTTCGTAAGCAAAACAATACTGGATTTGAAAGATATGAAAGGGCTTAAAGAGAAGCTGTCTTAATTAGCTTCCAAAAAAGATACTGATACTTAGATGTTTTGCTGCTTCATGTACTAAGTGCAGTGGAAAGAATGAGAATCCGGTCTCTAGAACTCCTAGTATGTGGTGATACAGTATTTTTAAATGAAGAATAATTCCTTATAGTCTTTGAGGAGCAATGCATGAGGCATTGAATCATTTGTATGAAAAAAAATAATTAAGCCGGCTTAGATTTCAGAGTGGTATACACACACTATTACGCCTTTGAAGTCCGATGATGAAACCTTTAGAATATGTGATGATTGGAAGTTGACATTGAATTCATGTATGTTGAAGCAAACATGCATCCCAGTTGAAACTGAAAATATCCTCAACCGACTTCGTGGTTCTAAGGTATTCTCGAAATTCGAAAAATCACAGAATAACGTTTACTAGTGGGTGCTCTTCAATAATATTTCTATTTTAATTTCCATTTTTAATGCCATTCCAACTGTTTATTTCAAATGGAGTGAGGAACAGGAGTCATGCTCACAAAGTCTATGAATGCTTCTTCTAAGTGATGCTGTTCTTTGTACTCACCCTTCTAATGTGCCTTTTGTACTTATTACTGATGCATCATCTGTGGATACTGCTGCAGTTTTGGGGCAGGAAGGTAGATCAGTAATCTGTGTTTCACGCAAACTAACTGTTACTGAACAAGGTCATTAACAAACTTAGTGAGAAGCGTTAGCTGTATTTTTAGGTTGTTAAACGACTTGATAAATGTTTATCTGGAATGAAATTCATTATTGTTACAGATCGTGAAACACTGAAGTTCATTTATCATCACGAAAAATTCATAACACGTTCCTCAGTTGCTATAGTTCAACAATGAAGTATTTATGACCATACTACATAACACAGAAATGTTAAATAATTCAACACGTCAATTACATATCTTGACAGTCACTGTAAAATTAACCTGTTGATGGAGAAAACTATTTATTAATGGAACTTTTATCGGTAAGCCGTCAATATTTTATTGGAAAAACTCATCGATACACAGGATTATACTCACTGTCATGCGAAAACATTGAAATGTTAGTCTGGAACTTGGAGTTTCAGTCTATTTCGACAAGCAGGATGAATTTCCCACTATCCCTGGTGGTTTTGTGTGTTTAAATGATCTTGTTACTATTACTCCTTAATTATGTATATCTATCCTTGAGGATCTTCATTTTAGACATTCAGATTCTGAAAAATGTGAAATCTTTGGAAAGGATCGGATGTTAGTGATCGTGGATAAGTTTGGATAAATGTTGCACAGTAATTAATTTTGTAAGGTGTCAAAGGTCGAAAAGTCATGCTTCTAAATGGATTTCTTGTTCAGTATCGTCTGAGATTCGGAAGAGAATTCATGCAGATTTTTGTGGTTCATTTCTTTGCAAACATTATACGCTTGTTTTCATTGACTATTTTTTAATTGACTTGAGTTTTCTTCCATGATTTCACTGAATTCTGACTTGACAATCAAAGTGTTGGATAAAGCGTTTAGTCGGGAAAGTGTCCCTATGGAACTAGTAACTGACAATAGCTTTCATTTTGCTGAAGATGGAGTTACTAATTAGTTTAATATTGTATAGTGTAAATATTTGGCCACTGCTCATAAACAACCTTGTTCTAATGATCAGGCAGAAAAGTTTGTCAGAACATTGAAGAGTGATATCGGTCCCATTACTGCTACAACATTCGATGAACCGGAGAGGGTAGTAGACACATTTCTACTTCAATATAGAAACGTTAAACATAATGTAAGGAAAGAAAATCCATTGACAATATTAAATGAAGGGATTCTTCATACTAATATGATGCACCTGGAATTTGCAGAAGTTAAATATTATCGTGCAAATGATCTCTGACCATCCACGTAGATTGTGGTGAAGAATGTTGGAAAATCTCTGTTTTGAATTCTAGGTACGAATGATTTATGTACACACGACCGACATGTTGATGAAATACAATCACAGGAACGAGGTGAGTTTGTTCTTATTTTTGCTGTTAGTTCTAGTGCTAATGAGCATATTCCAGACGTTACTGAGTGTATACCCAATACATAGCCTGGCAAACAAATAACGGAACTACGAGAAAAAAATACAGTAGATTACAGAAATCCGGATATCCACTTTAGCTATAGTTGTTGTGGTATTTGTACTACTTGATGATTTTTTTTTCGTGATTCCGTGGCTGACCATAATTTCAAATACAATACATTCAGTTGTGCTCGCTATATTCTCCATGACTTTGACGCTGATATTTATAGGACTCAGACATTTATTAAATTCTATTGTGTCCGGTTATTACAGTTACCTAAATGACCATAAACTTGCTAATAACCTTTAACCCCATTGTAATGACTTATATTCAATGCGAATTTCCCGATTTGTAATTTGTTTGTCTTATGGCATTAAAGTACACTTTTAATCATAGTAGTGTTTTCAAGTCTGCATTTACTGATGAGTATTGGCGAGCTGCAATAAAAAAATTCACTTCATACAAGTTCATACTATTACTACATCTATTGGTTCTTCAATTGATTAGGTTCTTATGTCATTATTTTAAATAATACCAGATGAAAGTAATCAATACGGATTATGAAAGCTACAATTCTGAGACCTTATACTGAAAAAAGGAATAGAAAAACATATCGATATCTCATGAGTAAACACAAGAAAACAATAAGTAAAGAAACGGTAGAACAATATACTAAGTACATAGTATTTTGACTATCTTCAAAAAGTAATAAGTTAAGGTGGAAATGGATAGCCAAGCACCATTTAATTTCTAGTAAAAATATTTTAGTATAAATTTAATAGTAAATTTAATGAATGCGCACTGTTGAGGTGTCCCATACTTAGAGGAAACTGCCATTCAGTTATTTCAGGTTTTCCCTGGCGATCATGAATTCAACTATTAAATTACTAATAATATCTACAAAACCCTTTTCTGAATATATGCATATATTTTAAAATTTATTACATGTAATATAAGTAAAACCATAAGATGCATTCAAATCAATCAAGCTGAGAGTATATAGATCAACGTAATCAATCTAAATAAACTTAAGTGCCAAATAGTGCACTAATTCTAGTAGTAAAATAAATGAAATTAATCATTTATTTCAAATGTTTCCATTTTTCTTTATCAGATAAATGTTGACTCTCTATATAAAACAAGTACATGTAATTTCCAGTTAATAACTTGAGAATCGTTCCATTCAATTTTATCAATAAATATAAGTTATAATGCCTATATCCTTGAGTAGTTAATTATGGTTTTTTTGGACACTAAGTATTAATTAAAGTTAGTTTTTGCGTTTCTAAGGAAGAAAAAAAAGACCTGAATAGAGACAAATGATTTTACATTGTAAATTTGCTTGATATTGTTTACTTGAATCTTTTCACTGATGTTTAGGACTGCAATTGATTAGTCTCTTATTGGCATATGTGCATACTGTGCGTATTGTCTC